TTTAACTGGCCACACGCGGTGGCAATGATCTCTACATTTAACTGGCCACATGCAGTGGCAATGATCTCTACATTTAACTGGCCAATGCAGTGGCAATGATCTCTACATTTAACTGGCCACACGCGGTGGCAATGATCTCTACATTTAACTGGCCACATGCAGTGGCAATGATCTCTACATTTAACTGGCCAATGCGGTGGCAATGATCTCTACATTTAACTGGCCACATGCAGTGGCAATGATCTCTACGTTTAACTGGCCACACGCAGTGGCAATGATCTCTACATTTAACTGGCCACACGCGGTGGCAATGATCTCTACATTTAACTGGCCACACGCGGTGGCAATGATCTCTACATTTAACTGGCCACACGCGGTGGCAATGATCTCTACATTTAACTGGCCACATGCAGTGGCAATGATCTCTACATTTAACTGGACACATGCGGTGGCAATGATCTCTACATTTAACTGGACACATGCGGTGGCAATGATCTCTACATTTAACTGGCCAATGCAGTGGCAATGATCTCTACATTTAACTGGCCACACGCGGTGGCAATGATCTCTACATTTAACTGGCCAATGCGGTGGCAATGATCTCTACATTTAACTGGCCACACGCGGTGGCAATGATCTCTACATTTAACTGGCCACACGCGGTGGCAATGATCTCTACATTTAACTGGCCACATGCAGTGGCAATGATCTCTACATTTAACTGGCCAATGCAGTGGCAATGATCTCTACATTTAACTGGCCACACGCGGTGGCAATGATCTCTACATTTAACTGGCCACACGCGGTGGCAATGATCTCTACATTTAACTGGCCACACGCGGTGGCAATGATCTCTACATTTAACTGGCCACATGCAGTGGCAATGATCTCTACATTTAACTGGCCAATGCAGTGGCAATGATCTCTACATTTAACTGGCCACACGCGGTGGCAATGATCTCTACATTTAACTGGCCAATGCGGTGGCAATGATCTCTACATTTAACTGGCCACACGCGGTGGCAATGATCTCTACATTTAACTGGCCACATGCAGTGGCAATGATCTCTACATTTAACTGGCCAATGCAGTGGCAATGATCTCTACATTTAACTGGCCACATGCAGTGGCAATGATCTCTACATTTTGGATCAGCAACCTGTTAGTTTCTCAACATGGATATGCAGCGGGGAGCAATCAAGATGGCAATGTTCTCCTGACAAGTGGTATCCGAGAGGCCAGAGTGAGAAGGAAGGCCAGAGATGGTCAAGAAAAAGAATCCTCAAGAAGACAGAAAAGAAAAATCCAAATGTATGTGTCTGTGAGTGATTTGGAAGGTGTTAGCCAACCACATTCTTTTTTTTTTTTTCTTTTTTGAGATGGGAGTCTCTCTCTGTTGCCCAGGCTGGAGTGCAGTGGCGTGATCTCAGCTCACTGCAACCTCTGCCTCTTGGGTTCAAGCGATTCTCCTGCCTCAGTCGCCCAAGTAGCTGGGACTACAGGTGCACACCACCATGCCTGGCTGATTTTTTTGTATTTTTAGTAGAGATGGGGTTTCACCGTGTTAGCCAGGACGGTCTCTGTCTCCTGACCTCACGATCCACCCGCCTTGGCCTCTGAAAGTGCTGGGATTGCAGGCATGAGTCACTGCGCCCCACCGCAACCACTTTCTTTGATTCAATAGTTGGCCTCAAACTTGTGTGAAGTGACCTGGAAACACAGTTTCAAGTCCTTTTGCAACAGGAAGACTCCTCACCCAAACTCCTTTGCTTGGAGATTGCAGAGCTTCTCTGGCAGTGGTCTTAGCTGAAAGCTTGATCCTGACTTTGGATGTGGGGAGCAGTCATAGCCAAGGGGCTGCCTGAGCCCTAAGTTTCTCATAGCCTCAGCTTTTTGTCAACTTCCAGATGTTTCCCTCTGTTTTGACAGCTGCTTATCTCTTTGGTTCAGCTTAAAAGAGCCATAAAGCCCGGCATGGTGGCTCACGCCTATAATCCCAGCACTTTGGGAGGCCGAGGTGGGCAGATCACAAGATTAAAAGTTCGAGACCAGCCTGGCCAACATGGTGAAACCCTGTCTACAAAGAATAAAAAAATTAGTGGGGTGTGGAGGCATGTGGCTGTAATCCCAGCTACTCAGGAGGCTGAAGAAAGAGAATCACTTGAACCCGGGAGGCAGAGGTTGCAGTGAGCTGAGATCGTGCCACTGCACTCCAGCCTGGGCGACAGAGCAAGAATCCATCTCAAAGGGAAAAAAAAAGCCATAAATATCATTCTTTCTGAGGAACTGGCATAAATAGGAACTAAAACACTGAGGTAGAATGGTGTTAGGCAACCCCTTTTTTTTTTCATTATCACTTCCCCCAAGGAGTCTTTTGAGACTTTTTTATCCTAACACTCCCTTGTAAAATTTTAATGCTATGGGCATACTGGATATCTGTTTCTGTAGTGTATATATACCTGTGCTTTTTACATAAAATGAGTAAGAATTTTTTTCTCCCAATTTTTGCAGTTTACCCATCTGACAAAGGGCTGATATCCAGAATTTACAAAGACCTAAAACAGATTTACAAGAAAAAACAAGCCAATTCAAAAGTGGGCAAAGGATATGAACAGACACTTTACAAAAGACATACATGAGGCCAACAAACATATGAAAAAATGCAGGCCGGGTGTGGTGGCTCATGCCTGTAATCCCAGCACTTTGGGAGGCCGAGGTGGGTGGATCATAAGGTCAAGAGATCGAGACCATCCCGGTCAACATGGTGAAACCCCGTCTCTACTAAAAATACAAAAATTAGCTGGGCACGGTGGTGTGTGCCTATAGTCCTAGCTACTCAGGAGACTGAGGCAGGAGAATTGCTTGAACCCAGGAGGTGGAGGTTGAGGTGAGCCAAGATCGCGCCATTGCACTCCAGCCTGGGTAACAAGAGCGAAACTCCGTCTCAAAAAAAAAACTCATCATCACTAGTCATTAGAGAAATGCAAATCAAAACTACATTGAGATACCATCTCACACCAGTTAGAATGGCGATCATTAAAAAATCTGGAGACAACAGATGCTGGAGAGGATGTGGAGAAATAGAACACTTTTACACTGCTGGTGGGAGTGTAAATTAGTTCAACCATTGTGGAAGACAGTCTGGCGATTCCTCAAGGACCTAGAAATAGAAATTCCATTTGACCCAGTAATCCCATTACTGGGTATATAGCCAAAGGATTATAAATCCTTCTACTCTAAGGATACATGCACACGAATGTTCATTGCAGCACTGTTTACAATAGCAAAGTCCTGGAACCAACCCAAATGCCCATCGATGATAGACTGGACAGGGAAAATGTGTCACATATACACCATGGAATATTATGCAGCAATCAAAAACAATGAGTTCGTGTCCTTTGTAGGGACATGGATGAACCTGGAAACCATCATTCTCTGCAAACTGACACAAGAACAGAAAATGATATACCGCATGTTCTCACTCATAGGCGGGTGTTGAACAATGAACACATGGTCACAGGGAGGGGAGCACTACACACTGGGGTCTGTTGGGGGGAATAGGGGAGGGACAGTGGGGGGTGGGAAGTTGGGGAGAGACAGCATGAGGAGAAATGCCAGATATAGGTGAAGGGGAGGAAGGCAGCAAATCACACTGCCACGTGTGTACCTATGCAACTATCTTGCATGTTCTTCACATGTACCCCAAAACCTAAAATGCAATTTTAAAAAAATAAATAATACATAAAAAGAATTTTTTCTCCCTTCGAAAGCCAAGTTTTACCTTTGGGCAATATCGCCTCTACTGGGATTGCATGAGGTAGAGGCACTCAGCTCAGCTTCCTTGCCCCCATGAGGCATATAGCAATATCTGGAGACATTTCAGCTTGGGGTGGGATGGAGCTGCTACTGGCTGCTAATGGGTAGAGTGCAAGAATGCTGTCAAAGTCCGACAATGCACAGAAGAGCCGTCGAAGTCTGACAATGCACAGAAGAGCCCTCCACAGCAAAGAGTTATCTGGCCCTGAAGATCAATAGTGCTGAGGTTGAGAAACCCTGAGCTAAAGCAATATTTCCAGAGTCTGAACTGTTGAACCAGATTCATAGATAGCTGTGGGAAGTAGAAATGTTCCTTTTTAAAGTTTCCTTTCTTGTTAAATCATAAGTGTGCTAATAACTTTGTTAAGCCCTACCCTATGAGACTGTTAGACATGCCATGCTTACAATCACGTAATACATTGTACGTCCCTGTACTTTAACCAAGTATCTGTGCTGGACGTGCTCACAGGCATGTCCCAGCTCTCCATTGCTTTTATCTGTTTAGAATAGTTTTAAGTTGTTAGCCAATTGGATTGTTTTTTAATTTACAAAATGTGATTTTACTACCTCTAATTTTAACATCCATCAGGCACTTCAGAACATCTAAAAAGAACAGACGTTTCAAAAACGTTTAGCATTGTCCACTATATATAGTGAGGAATAAAATGCACACAAAACAAGGGCTAGAATATGAAAATGTCTTCTAAATATGACCAGTCTAGCATAGAACCTGCTCCTCCTTCCCAGGTCTTCCAGCCACATGTCATCTAACCCACTGAACAAACCTGAACATACCGCTTCCAGAGGCCATCTAACAACTCCATTTCCAAAAGTCATTTACAGAAGACGTGTATTTTCTATGATTGCTTTTAAACAAATGAGAATTTACAAGATGTGTGGTTTTCTAACTACTTTATCACACGTCGGCAACCTCTTCACATCTAGAAGGGCTAGATGTGACACAGGTTTTCTATTAAAAGGTTGGGGTGCAGTTGAGAGCAGCTTTTTCATATTATATACACAGGCCTTCCATAAACGGCCAGTAAATCCTCAGAGAGGGTGGTGGGCATTTCCAACGGGCCAAACGTGGCCTGTCATTCTACCGTTTCTCTCTTCCGACAGCAAGGTCTGGTAGAATGAAGACTAACCCCCGATGGCCGCTAACCGTTCGGAACTTCGCTCACCTCCCAGGCCTGTTAAGGCCTTTGTCCGTTGTCAGGACTAGGTAGGTCTCGCCCGATGGTGACGGAGTGGTCACTGGGGACCTGGATCTGCACGGCTCCGTGGCCTAAAGAGGCGGCCGAGACCGCCTGCGGCCTTAGGCCGCCTTCCCAGGCCCTCCATGACCTAACGGCCTCCGCTGAGCAGCATTCGAGCGGCCGCCATGTTTCCTGGCCCCCCACTTCCGCCGCCGCAAAGGCACATCCGGGCAGCTCAGCTGGGGCTTGGTCGAGGCCCGGCACTCTTGGGCCAGAAGACCCAGTGGCCAGCAGGGTCCAGGCTGGGGTACGGGCTGGGAGAAGCCGCCGCCATAAGTCATCAAAGTGGGGTGGGGTAGAGAGGTTCGCCACCGCTTCAAGGCTTGGGCCTGGCTAGTGGGGCAGCCACAGCGTAGGCCTCCGGTGTCTGAAGGGCAGAGGGCACGGCCTGTCCCGGGCCCTCCAGCTCACCCGCCCGCTGGAGGCCAGAGGGCTTGGAGGGCCCAGGGGGAGCTCGCCGCGCTCTGCCTCTCGCCGCCAGCCAATCGGATTTTAGTTTAGATTGTGAGGTCTGGCTCCAGCCAACGGAGACCAGACACAGAAGTAAGGACAACCCCAAATGCCTAAGGGATAAATTTGCGTGTGTTCCTTATTGTGTGCCACTCTCGTGGCAAGATGGCTAGGCAAGAATACCCTTCCTGCAGTCCAGAAAGTAAAAATTGTGTTGCTGAAAGATTCTTTGTCTCAGTGCTCATTTTTCTTTGCGGCACCGAGCATCTGTTTTCAACATCTATTTCCAACAATAGCCTGCAAAGGCTGGGCGCGGAAACTCTGTCTCAAAAAAAAAAAAAAAAAGTAGGTTTCAGATTTTGAAGTTGCAGAGGTTACTGCCCTGGAGACAAGTCTTGAGATTGGCAAAGTAACGTTATTGTCCTGGAGAAACACTAAGTAGGTGTCCCTTCAGTAAGAGTTTCAAAATTAAACAGCCAAAAAAAGGACCTCAACCCCTAAAAATAATCTTTTTTTTTTTTTTTTGAGACGGAGTCTTACTCTTGTGTCCCAGGCTGGAGTGCAATGGCACAACCTTGGCTCACTGCAACATCTACCTCCAAGGTTCAAGGGATTCTCCTGCGTCAGTCTCCTGAGTAGCTGGGATTACAGGCATCCGCCACCACGCCCAGCTAATCTTTTGTATTTTTAGTAGAGATGGGGTTTCACCATTTTGGTCAGGCTGGTCTCGAACTCATGACCTCAGGTGATCCACCCGCCTCGACCTCCCAAAGTGCTGGGATTACAGGCATGAGCCACTGCACCCGGCCTCATTTTTTTATTAATGCCCATTTCATAGATGGAGAAGTAGGAACCCAGAGAGGTGAGGTGGTATGCTCAAGGCAACCCAGCCAGCCAGCAACACTGTCAGGGCTACACTCACACTCCTGACATTTTCCTGGACACATGTTCTACTAGGCTTAATTTTTGAAACCTGAGCAGAGAGGATCGGGCCAACGAAAAGACTCGAGCAAGCCTATCCCAAACCAGGATGGTACAGCGCAGGCTTTCAACACGGAGGAAAGCTGAAACATGGGACTATAGCGCCCTCTGGTGTACAAAGCCTTATCTCAAGGCCAAAGACATCAAGGTCCATTCCCCAGGGTCTGGCACCATACCAACCCACAGGGACAAGCGTATCTGAAATTGTGCCTTCAAGAGGAGCGCCACAGGACTCAGCTGCAGAGCTGTGGCGATTAAGCCTTCAAATATGTTATTTACAGCTCAAAATGAGAGAAGCCTGCCAGGCTGGGCCACGCCAGGAGTGAAAGGGACAAGGTAACAATGAGCTGGACCAGGCACGGTAGTTCACACATGGAATCGCAGCACTTTGGAGGCCGAGCCAGGTGGATCACCTGAGGTCAGGAGTTCGAGACCAGCCTGGCCAACATGGTGAAACCCCGTCTCTACTAAAACTACAAAAAAAATTAGCTGGGCGTGCTGGCGGGTGCCTGGAATCTCAGCTACTCGGGAGGCTGAGGCAGGAGAATTGCTTGAACCTGGGAGGTGGAGGTGGCAGTGAGCCAAGATCGCGCCATTGCACTCCAGCCTGGGTGACAGAGTGAGACTCTGTCTAAAAAACAATGAGCCAGAGCTGTATGGGGTGGTTTATGTTCGGCGGACATAGGAGGTTACTTAGGTTTCAAGGGCTTTCTGTCCATTGACTGTTTTGAATAATTTACGTGTTCAGAGCAAAGGGGCTGTCCGTAGTGCCTGGCACCTGGCCTCAGAGAGATTAGGGCTAATGCATAGCGGCCCCCAAGTATGAGGGCCTGATAAGTAAAGGAAAGTGATTGGGATGTGAACTTAGCTGCTCAAACAGGGAAGTCACTGGCCTCTAGCCAGGACCTTAAAACGGAGTCAAGACAGCATTTAAAAACCCACGACAACGATATCACAGAGCAGGTCTGAATAAACAGGCAAACTTCGGTAAGGAAATAGAAAACTGCAAACAACTAAATTGCTAGTTAATTTTGTTAAAGCTAAAAATTCCTACACATTTGGAAATTAGACAACACATTTTCATGTAACCCAAATGTCAAAGAAGATATAACAATGGAAAATAGAAAACATTTATAAGTGAATAAAAATAAAATATCACTCATCGATGTGGTGGTGGGTAGCTAAACTGGCCCATAGAAAATTTAGACTTTAATGGTTTTTTTGGTTGGTTGGTTTGTTTATTTTGAGATGGAGTCTCGCTTGGTCACCCAGGCTGGAGTGCAATGGCACCATCTCAGCTCACTGCAAACTCCGCCTCCTGGGTTCAAGGGATTCTCCTGCCTCAGCCTCCAGAGTAGCTGGGATTACAGGCATGCAACACCACACCCCACTAATTTTTGTACTTTTAGCAGAGACAGGGTTTCACCATATTGGTCAGGCTGGTCTCAAACTTCTGACCTCAAGTGATCCACCCCCCTCACCCTCCCAAAATGCTAGGATTGCAGGCATGAGCCACAGTGCCTGGCCTTAAATGTTTATATTAGAAGAGAAGAGCTGGGCACGGTGGCTCAAGCCTGTAATCCCAGCACTTTGGGAGGCCGAGGCGGGTGGATCATGAGGTCAAGAGATCGAGACATCCCGGTCAACATGGTGAAACCCCGTCAATACTAAAAATACAAAAAATTAGCTGGTCATGGTGGCGCGTGCCTGTAGTCCCAGCTACTCGGGAGGCTGAGGCAGGAGAATTGTCTGAACCCAGGAGTCAGAGGTTGCGGCGAGCCGAGATTGCGCCATTGCACTCCAGCCTGGGTAACAAGAGCGAAACTCCGTCTCAAAAACAGAAAGAAAAGGAAGCAGTAGGGATAAGAAGAGCAGAATAAACTCAAAGAAGGTATAAGGAAGAAAATAAGAAATGTGAGAGCAGCTGGGCATGGTGGCTTATACTTGCAATCCCAGCTACCCAGGAGCTGGCATGGGAGAATCACCTGGCGCTAAGGGTTCCAGGAGCTGGCATGGGAGAATCACCTGGCGCTAAGGGTTCCAGGAGCTGGCATGGGAGAATCACCTGGCGCTAAGGGTTCCAGGAGCTGGCATGGGAGAATCACCTGGCGCTAAGGGTTCCAGGAGCTGGCATGGGAGAATCACCTGGCGCTAAGGGTTCCAGGAGCTGGCATGGGAGAATCACCTGGCGCTAAGGGTTCCAGGAGCTGGCATGGGAGAATCACCTGGCGCTAAGGGTTCCAGGAGCTGGCATGGGAGAATCACCTGGCGCTAAGGGTTCCAGGAGCTGGCATGGGAGAATCACCTGGCGCTAAGGGTTCCAGGAGCTGGCATGGGAGAATCACCTGGCGCTAAGGGTTCCAGGAGCTGGCATGGGAGAATCACCTGGCGCTAAGGGTTCCAGGAGCTGGCATGGGAGAATCACCTGGCGCTAAGGGTTCCAGGACATGCCGAGACGCTATCTCTTGTTTTTGTTTTGTTTTTGAGACAGAGTTTCACTCTCGTTGCCCAGGCTGGAGTGCAGTGGCACAATCTGCATTCACCGAAACCTCTGCCTCCCAGGTTCAAGTGATTCTCCTGCCTTAGCCTCCCTGGTAGCTAGTTACAGGCATGCACCACCACACCCAGCTAATTTTGTATTTTTAGTAGAAATGGGGTTTCTCCATGTTGGTCAAGCTGGTCTTGAACTCCCGATCTCTGGTGAGCCGCCCGCCTCAGCCTCCCAAAGTGCTGGGATTACAGGCATGAGCCACTGCACCTGGCCAAGATTCTATCTCTTCAAAAAAAAAAAAAAGGCTGGGTTTTCGACAGTTGCTTAGCTCTTTGGTTCAGATTAAAAGAGCCATAAAGCCAGGTGCAGTGGCTCAAACCTGTATGGGAGGCCAAAGAGGGAAGATCGGTTGAGATCAGGAGTTCAAGACCACCCTGGCCAACATGGTAAAACCCCGTCTCTACTAAAAATACAAAAATTAGCCGGCATGGTGACACACACCTGTAGTCCCAGCCATTCAGGAGGCTGAGGCAGGAGATTTGCTAGAACCTGGGAGGCAAGGTTGCAGTGAGCCGAGATTGTGTCACTGCACTCCAGCCTGGGTGACAGAGCAAGACTTCATCTCAAAAAAAGAAAATGATAATAATAATAATAAAATAAAATAAGTAAATGACAAATATAAGGGCAGAAATAAAACAGAAATCAAAAGTAAAATAAGCCCATTAAAGTAATTGAAAGTAATGAAATTGGCAAACCTCTAGGAAGATAGGCAAAGAAGCAAAAGAAAGATAAAAAGAATCTTGGAACTGCAAATACAAACACTAGAGATTAAAATAAAAAACTAGGCTAGGTGTGCTAACGCACACCTGTAATCCCAACACTTTGGGGGTCCGAGGCAGGTGGATCACCTGAGTTCGAGACCAGCCTGACCCACATGGTGAAACCCCCTCTTTACTAAAAATACAAAACTTAGCCGGGCATGGTGACAGTCACCTGTAATCCCAGCTACTTGGGAGGCTGAGGCAAGAGAATTGCTTTGAACCCAGGAGGTGGAGGTTGCAGTGAGTCGAGATCTCATCATTGCACTCTAGGCTGGGTGATAAAAGCAAAACTTTGTCTCAAAAAAAAAAAACAAAAAAACTAGAGACTAGAGGAATACCATGTACAACTTTATTACAATGAATTTTAAAACAAATAAAATGGATATGTTCCTTGAAATACTAGAAATACACATCCTAGCAAAAATGGCTCAAATATATATATATATATAAAATCTGACTTGAACCATTTAAAAAATTTAATTATCTGGGCTAATCCCAGCACTTTGAGAGGCCAAGGCGGGGCAAGGAGGGTGGATCACTTGAGCTCAGGAGTTTGAGACCAGTATCTGCCACATGGCCTAACTCCATCTCTACAAAAAATGCAAAAAAGGTAGCCAGATGTGGTAATGTTCACCCGTAGTCTCAGCAAGTTGGGGGGCTGAGGCGGGGGGATCGCTTTAGCCCGGGAGGTTGAGGCTGCAGTGAGACATGCCACAGCACTCCAGCCTGGGTGACAAAGAGAGAC